AAACTTTCGAGCGTCTCCGAATCATCTTACCTCGAGCTCAATGGACTAACAAAATACTTCTGGTAAACACCTCAATATAGGGCGAGCTTCTGCGGAATTGTAAAGTTTTTATACAAATATCCGGGTCCCTACAACCGTAATTCAGTTTAACCGCCACTGGTTATATTTCTAATAAAGTGGATGTAGGCGTGATACGGGCAACATAAAACCTGTGAAAAAACCTCATTTCTCGAAAACTGATATTCCATACTGGAATATATTTAAAACAGATCACAAAACTTAATTGCGGTCATACTCGATAAGGTGCACACGAACTAACGGCACCCAGAAATTTGTTGGCGATCATGAAATAAACATCCCCAGAAATCAAGGTCATTTCGAGCCCGCTAACAATTATCAGCGGTATATCGTATTACACTCCGGAACAATAGAATATTAAGAGCATTCAATATGACGGCGATCACGGCTCGATCTGCAAAGAAGAGTGTTTCGTACCATGACTTATACAATTTGAGCACCGCAGATCTTCTATTTGATGAAAAGAAAAAGAAAAGATGACCTGCAAGTAAATCTTTGGGATTTTTCGAGGCAGAGCGATGAAATGATGTCAGAATTTTGATTTGCTTTAATTTAATTTTCGCGCTAAGACTACTGAATTTGCATTCAATGCCTGGCATATTTTTATTCCGAAAAGGACCGAGAACTAATTTATTTCCCTGCAAGAACATAAACAAATATGGCCGACGATTCGAAGATCAGCGTTGCTCGTGTTTAACTATTTCAGTCATAGTTTTCAACATGGCTTCTCGTCACTTACTCAACATGGAAAATAAAGGATATTCTGGCGCGTTGGGAACTTTTTTGAGGGGAGGAAATGGCAATTTTACAGGATATTTGGACGCTTCGAACTCTGTAGCAGTCAATTCGATCGAGAGCAGTTGACTTTATTGATGCACTTTCCTGTAATAGGCGAGTGTTTGGGATGGAGAACGACGGATTTTGAAGAACTGTATGGCGACCTAGGTCAATGATCAATGATAAAAGAACTGGCTCGGGAAGTAAGTGGTTTTTATTTATCGAGTCCCTGTGAGGTTTGATGAATAGCAGAATCAATACTGAATATGTCTCGATCGAGAGCAGACGGGATCATGAGCTCCTGATTGTTATATTTTAGAAATTTTACAAATTTCCATACAGTTTCTTATATTATTTGGACGCCATTATGGACGAAATGCGCAAGCGCGGCCGCAATCTTGTCCAATATTTCTGCCGATGAAATCCTGATAATGATTTGTGATAGGGAACAAAACCAGGTAATGGGACAGGGCTTTTCTCCCTGCTGATATCCATTATTTTCGAGCGCTTAAATTAGGGTTGTTGCCATTATGTCCTTTTTCCAAGCCTTTTGGCCATGTTTCCGTTAAACGTCGACTCCCGTGCGACATTTTCGTGTCAAAAACAGCTTTATACTTCAACTGAAGTTTCTCTACATTTGCCTTCAACGATTGCGGAGCCACTGGAACTTGTTTTAAAATTGGTTTTAACCTTACTGGACTACCGAAACGTACTCGTAGTATATACAAAAACAGTGAGATAAGATAGCACAAAGAGATGATTTTAACTAGTATTACCCTGCAACGATTACAAGCGCAAATCTCGCGTCTCTCTTTGCTCCGGGAGGCGAAAAGCTAAACAATACACCATACCTTTTTATCGATTTACCATCGTATACAAACCACTTGGGATGTTTAAAGAACACGAAAAAAAGTTTGTAAACGACGACTTTCTTCTAAACAATACTTCAATTTGGAAGGAGAAAAAAAATCATGAAAATCCACCTCTGTGCACGTTCAAAGACTTAAGTTTCTCGTATGGAAACCTAGACTAGGCAGCGCGTCAAACAGTTATAACACAGGGAATTTTCCTCATACTACCCTGCCAAGATCTGTCTATTCCAGACATTCTGTATCATTAGTTCAGTGTTTTTTACTTTAGAACTTCTTTTAGTATCTTTACCTACCCTACCCCCCAACATACAACAAGTCAATATCGCCTGGCTTATGATGTGGTCTACACTACATGTCAGTTTGTATCGTAAAGCCTTATGTATTACAACAATGGGTGATGAGAGGAGAGGGAGGGAGAAGAGAGGAATTTTAAAGTGTTCAGTTGTTTTCAATGCCTCCAATAAAAAAAAGAAACCCTCAAACTCATTTTGTTCCACGAAATAGCTCGTTATCTTGCCGAACACTTGAAAATGGAAATTTTAACAAACTGCTTGGTTCACGGAAACTCGTTCGCGAGATCGATTAAGAAAATTTCAAAAATTCCAAAAAATACGAAAAATGTCTAAGCTAATTCAAACGCGTTCTCCCTTTATTTCATATTGTAAGGAAGAACCCACTCAAGAAACTCAAACATCATGTTGTTTCCCATGACGACATTGAAATCCTTTCTGCTGAAAATAATAGATTGACGAATGGCCAAGTCGTCTATGGATGTCTTAAAAAACAACTACGCATGATGACTAAATAATGGAGTTGACAGATTTACCTGAAAATATAAATACGTTGCAGTAACAGCAACCTGGGTTCTTATCAAAAACATTTCTAGCCACTTAAAGATGTTGGTGGTAATGATAATACGTTCATATCAGTAATGCGGCTAAACACTTGTTACACGTACTAACTTTCGTCATTCATTGACAGATACTTGGGCAACAACCAGTTGGAGAATTTGCCAAAAGACATGTTTATGAACAATACCAATCTAAGAAGGCTGTAAGTCAAAAGTGAAGACTATTCTTTCTAATTTTAATCATGCAGGCCATGTAAAGAGACGATGAGGGGAAATTACGGGGATAATTGTAACAGTTACAACATTGCAATGATCAGACATATTCACCAAAGTCACAAAGTGTATTATTGTTTTAAAAAATATCAATAGCTAAGGCCAGGCTTTTAAGTCATCAATCAGACAAACTTTATGATGTATCCACCCAGTTCATTAGTTCTCAGCCTAACTTGCCTCCGAGCATTAGGGTGGAAGAAAGGGGCGGGGAGGAAGGTTGGGTAACCACTGGATCGAGGGTAATAAATCTTCCATGCCAGGAGAAGGAAGTTCGTACACTCGCGCTTCATTCCAAATCTTGGATAAGTTCGTTACGGAAAATAAACGAGGGAAATGAATTAAAAATAATTTTTCTGTGTTTACATTCTTTAAGAAGTGATACCAACCCTCAAATGCGTCAAAGGTTTGCCTCGTGTTAAGATAAGAACATATTAACACAAAAAAAGCTCTTTACTTTTTAAATATAGACTGATTGACGGAATCCGAGTAATTTGGTCCGAATGTTGCTAGAACAATGAAGCATAAAAAAAGATATTAGCGCTTTTTTTTTATTTTTCTGCCGCAAAAACTTTCATTTATTTTTTTGGTGCTTCAGCTTGGCAGCTCAATTTAAAGAAAATGAATTAGAATATGGGAAAATGCTGACACACTTCGGCGTTTGATTCTTTGTGATTTAAGTGATGACGTTTTTTTATATTTTTAATGACCTCGGTATTTAGCGCTCAGTATTAAGTATTTCAGTAACTTATAAGTTATTGTAAACGTAGTACTTAGATGCAAGGCCACATAAGCACCAGCTTTAACAAATATTGTGTTGAAATAAAGTGGATGTGGGTATAAAAACAAGAATGACAAAGATTTAGTCGTTTGAGACTTAGACAGAAGACATTGAATTTGAAGAAAATTAGTTTGATGATATCACAAGACACTACTCAGTTATTAGGTCAGGTGACATGTCTAGAGAAAAATATTAATAAATAACGAAACAAGGCTTTGTTGCAAAGTAGATTGTTAATGAAAAATTGTCAGAAGATGAAATGAGCTCCTTCGCGTGCGGATAATATAAATCCCGGTTATTTAGACAAGAGAAAAAGAAATAGAAATCTCTTCTCTCTTGTTGTTAATTCAAGACCTTTAAAGGGAGCATGGCCGAAAGAGTCGGGGGTAAAGTGGGGCGGGAGCCCAAAAACTATTTATGACAGAATGAAAAAATTATTCAAACATGAAGCAACAGGATAAATCACGGAAATCAATAACGCTTCAATTATACTATGACAAACTATGTGCGAAATTGCTAAAATCAGCAAATATGGCTTTTGCACGGCACAAAGCATTCATCAGTCTATAATTTGATTGCTTTTCATCATCATTGCTCATTTTAGGGGATTTTAAAGTCACACGCTGCGTGTCGGTTGCCATTTGTTTCTAGTTCCAGCGTGCACTACTTCGGCTTCTACAGACGAGAAAGTCTGCACTCTCGCTTGAGAGCAAATATAAATAGCTCTATTAAACTAAGAACTGTGCTACTATCTCGAAAATAAAATTAAAACAGTGTTGTCGTTGTCACTTACCGCCATTGAACATTTCCATGCAGAACTCTGCAAAACTAACATCTGTTGCGTGACCCGAAGGCTGATTACTACATGTAAATCTACATCTCTCTCGATCGAGTGTTGCCGGAGTTTAATTGCATGACTTGTAAAATTTATTAAGAATAAGCCAGTAGAAATTGCGAATTTCTCGGGCGGAATTGCTTTTTATTTCTCAGTTGATGTTATCGCAAACACAGTTTTTTGGAGTCACGAACATGAGGGGACGCAAATCGTCTGCACTGTAAGTACATATCAAGCTCCGTAGGTGATTTAATACCATTAAATATGAGATATTTATGTCAGCGTTTGCATGGTTAGTATCGTTAGCGCCTCTTCCGGTTGGATCTGGACAATGTTTGGTTTTTTTTCCCAGATTGCTTTTCAGTGCATGTAGTTTCCGATGTGCATGAAGATTTTCCAGATATTCCCCTCAAAATGGCGCCGAGGAAAGGTTTTTCGACCTTCTCTCGCGTGGTCAGTTAGGGATTAAGCGATCAGAGTTACTGGTACGTGCTCACAACTGAAATTTGTGGAATAATTCCCTTACAATATTTAAAGCGATCGCCGATCGTGAAAACTTTTCCTGAAGATTTCTGCAGAGTTGAAAGCGGCAAACTTCGGCTTCTTGATGGGCGCCCTTTCGTCAACAAGAAAAGTTCAAGTGCATTCGAAGTTGTTTGCTCGTCTTTTGGGCTTGTATCGGCTATTCTGAGGAAGAAAACAAGTTCTGAAGAACGAGGATCCGCCGCGATTTATAAAGTGAAAGAATTTCTGAATGGCTTGGATTTTAGTTCCCTTAAAGGAGACGGCGACGACGTGGACGTGAATTGCGAGCGACCACGTGCAGCTCGGCGCCTTTCAATGCCTCCTCAATTCAACACTCCTAAGACGAAAGAAACGCCTGTCCCGGTTCATTTGACTCCTCCAAGCAGTGGCAGTCTTAGTTCCCCAAATCTTAAGGAGATTTGTGAAAGAAATGATTTGGAGACCCCAGAAAAGACTTTCCTTATTAAAAAGAGGGGGAGCCGCGTTCTCCAAGATGTACAAGGCATCTGTGAAAGGAGCCGGGAAAATTTGTCAACGGTGCTTTCCAGCATGTGTGCTTTTGGTGATCCTGAGGCGAAAGCTATCGTAAATGAGATTGTGGAGGATGTGGCCACGAAGAAAGGAGTTAAAAGGACGGTGGAAGAGCTTGTTGGTGATGAAACGTTTTCTTTATACGTGGAAAGCCTGCGAGTTCCAGATTGGGTGTTACTATATTTCAAGACCAAGGCAAGGATATCTGGTAATACTTGGCAAGCCGTAATCAATATCACCAAACTTGGAAGGACAGGGGTAAGGTTTATTCTTAGTAATCAATGTTACAAGGCTAAATGTTTTGCCTACTTTATGGCGACCGCTATCACAAATCAATAACCAGCCTCAAGGGAAGTTCCTAACAGTCACATTCGCTCTTTTCAAAAAGCCTTTTTTTTTTTGACAAATTGTCATTATTTGCTTGAAGTTTAGTCGCTCATGAAAATTTCCGTTTTAAGATACAGTAGGATCGGTGGTAAAAAGGCTTTAAAAGTTTTAGAATTTTGGCTTCTCTGCCTCTAAGATGTAGAAAGACCATTGACACCGAAAACTGCCCTGAAGAGTTTTTGAGACTGAGAAATTGTTGCCAGCTTAGCACAACTTTAGGATGGCGTCTATCATTAATTTCAAGGGTGGAGGGGAAGCATTGCATAGTGTTGATCTCTCAGAAGGGCTCCTTCTTTTGTAAAGGACATGTCTGCACTCAGATTTATCCCAACTTGGAAGCAGTGCTATAGTAACAAATTAAATGCTTGAAAGTGATTCAAGAAGTGAAAGTCTTATTATTATTTATTATTACAATGATAATGGCTGATTTTTTAACCCTCAGTTATCAATGTGTTTTCCATGTTAATTTTGTTGTTTTTAATTTTTGTTTTGCTCTCTTTCTTTGGTATCCATTTTAGAAATCCTCTGACACACCAATACTGTTAAATCTTAATCAAATGAAGGCTGCCAAAAAAGTGATCTTTGGAGTTTGTAAAGAATACATGGATGTGAAAAAGGTGCCAACTCCTTTACAAGGTTATCAGGTGGATTTGTATCCTGTTTTGGAGCTGATTGTTCGTGAGCAAAGACTGCATAAGGTGTGCTCACCAACTCTCAAACTTCTGATCAAGATAGATGGAAGACCCTTTTGTGGTAAATACAGACTGTCAGGTTTAAGTATGCTGTTATAAACTATAGAACAAACTCAGAGTAAATGTGTAGCTGTGTATAATTTTGGTCCCATGAATGTGAATGAAATAATAACTGTTTCTATTGTTATTTTTTTATGACCAGGGAGAAATCAGGTGTTGGTAGGTCTGGTTGCCCGTCTTAATCCTGTATACAGCATACAGAGTGCAAAGTCTGTTTACCCACTGGCCATTGCCAATTGTAAAGAAAACAGGTTTATCATCAATTTCTATTCTATGTTACCAAAATACTTTTTCTCCTTTGCTTGGCATGGTTATGAACTGTTTACCACCCACAGTATAGACACTTTTCCATTTAAGCTTTCCTTACTGAAAGCCTGTAGTTTTGTAGACTATATATGACAGTTTTCATTGTTGTAATGTTGGCTTTCCAGTGGCTCCAAGATCTGACAAATGTAACACACACACACAACAAAAAAATACCCACACATAATTAGATAGAAAGAAAAAAAAAACTACAAACCCTTTTGCAATATAAGAACCTTACCCCAACACAAGCTCAATAAATAATAAGTTTCATTGACTGTCTTTATGCCTAATGTTATTTTGATAGGGAAAGCCTGAAGGTACTTTTAAAGGATGTAAATGATCAAAAGAGAATTATCAAGAACCAAGGAATTTTTGTTGATGGCATTAAGTTCAATGTAGAATTTGATGGTAAGATGTTTCTGCCAGTTTATCGCATAAAGGTTGTTTGCAAGAACAACCCTGATCTTTTAAGGGAGGGGGGGATGCTGACTTTCTTTTTTTGAAACTTGAGGGTTTTTTTTCCATTATCAGTGTAGCTGACCAATATTTTAAACAATAAGTTATTTTTCTACATGTATGTCATCATAATTCTTTATTATTGTTGTTTTTTGTCATATCTTAGTTTCATTGGACTACAAAGCACTGATCCTTCTTTTGGTAAAGAAAGGGGATCTTGATTTTCAACTTGGTGGTCGTGGGGTAAATGTGGAATTTTGCTTTATATGCAATGCAATCAGGGTTAGTATTTGTGTTGGTGTACATGTGGATGTATAAGGATTTTTTTAGTTGTTGAAGTTCATCAGTTGCAATACACAAGCTGCAGTCTTCACTAACAATGCAACCACAAAATTTTGTAAGATAATATTAATTTAATTTGAGATAATTCCATTCCCCATTAGGGTTGCAAATGTCATGATGTAGCCCCAGATGAAACCTGCCTGGAATGCCTACGAAGCAAGTGTAACATAGGCAGGTATATTTTTAGTTTAGCCTTTCATGATCATTACTTAATGAACAGGCTTACTTAGGAAGTGCTTGTGGCCTTTTGGGTATCAGAGTTGATGCATTGGTGAGAGCAGCCACCTTCCACCAATCTGGATCTGTTCCTAGACAAAGCACAGTATGATTTGTTGGCTCTCTAATCTCCTCTGAGAGATTTTTTATCCAGGCACTCTAGTTTTTCCCTTTAATGGAAAACCAACATTTGACTTCATTGATTTTGGGTTGTCTCTTTTTGTTTAATTATTAGTCAAGAGCACTTGTGCTTGGCTAAATACCCTTGAGACTTGAAAATCATCATTGTCATTTTTATTTAACATTGTTTCTTGAGTTTAAGATTCATTGAGTTATTCCCATTTATTTATTGCCATGGTCTTCATGAGACTATTAATTTTTTATTTATAAATACATTGTAAATGCATCATTGTTATTCATGTATTTGCAGATCAACTGGAATTCGGGATGATCTCCTTTTTCTCCTTGATGAAGAGCTTACTAGCATTCAGTTGTGTGCTCTCCATATGGAGATGCGCAATACTGAGCAGTTGCTTGCGTCCATTGGTCTGATTGCCTACAAGATTGGTTCACTTCCAGAAGCCAATCAAGCCCTGAAGTGCTTTGGCCCAGAGTCTTTTCATGGTGATAGAATTTCTGTTAAGAAGAAGAGTGGTCAGGAGTCTGCCATTTCAAAACAGAACATTCATGTGAGCTCTATGTCAGGTGCGTGAGTGGTTGAATTACTGGCTTTGTGTGTATTTTAAAATTGATTTGCTTTGTGGGTATCTATTATTTTTCTCATTGTGATAAACACATTTCAGGTCCAACAGAATTTGAAATTCTTCAAAACCTTGAAGAGATTGTGGGACTCTCCCTTCCACTGGACAAGTTAAAGCTCTCCTACATGGATGTAAACACTGCCAAGAATTTCATTCTTAACCGTGTTACATTTTGTCAGTCCCGTATTGATGTAAGTCTTTGATAGCAGATGTGGCATTGGCAAGTACCTTCACTTGTGGTTCAACAGTTCAAGTTTATTGTTCTTTAAGTTTAGAGGTGTGGTTTATGTTGTGCAGCGCCCAGATGTTTCGTCGGAGAGCGCTATCAAAATGGGCACCATTTGTAAGTACTTGCTTCCTTTTCAATTTCACTCTATGCACTAGTTATCTTTCCAAGGAGATCCATGACCATGTTTCTTGTGAAAGTTCTTTCAAGGATCTTATTTAGAAGGCTGTACTTTAAGGTGGCACACCCAAAAGTGCAGTATAGCCCAGTATTTTTGTATTTTTACACTATTTCAATGATCTTATTTAGTAGGCTGTACTTTAAGATGGCACAGCCAAAAATGCAGTATAACCCAGCATTTTTTTTTGTATTTTTACACTCTTTCAAAGATCTTATTTAGTAGGCTGTACTTTAAGGTGGCACACCCAAAAGTGCAGTATAACCCAGCATTTTTGTATTTTTACACTCTTTCAATGATCTTATTTAGTAGGCTGTACTTTAAGGTGGCACACCCAAAAGTGCAGTATAACCCAGCATTTTTACACTCTTTCAATGATCTTATTTAGTAGGCTGGACTTTAAGGTGGCACACCCAAAAGTGCAGTATAACCCAGCATTTTTGTATTTTTATACTCTTTCAATGATCTTATTTAGTAGGCTGCACTTTAAGGTGGCACACCCAAAAGTGCAGTATAACCCAGCATTTTTGTATTTTTACACTCTTTCAATGATCTTATTTAGTAGGCTGCACTTTTAGGTGGCACACCCAAAAGTGCAGTATAACCCAGCATTTTTGTATTTTTACACTCTTTCAATGATCTTATTTAGTAGGCTGCACTTTAAGGTGGCACACCCAAAAGTGCAGTATAACCCAGCATTTTTGTATTTTTACACTCTTTCAATGATCTTATTTAGTAGGCTGTACTTTAAGGTGGCACACCCAAAAGTGCAGTATAACCCAGCATTTTTGTATTTTTACACTCTTTCAATGATCTTATTTAGTAGGCTGCACTTTTACATTTCGAGCATGTCTAATCAGCACGACTTATCTAATATGAGAGGAACTGTGAGAAATGTTAACTTGTAGAGGTGAGTCAGTGGAGTTATGGTTATCCTCCCACCTTTAGATTTTTAGCGCGAACATAGCTTACATACACGGATACACAGGATAGGTACGAGATGAGAGATGAATATACAAAAATGTTTCAGGGATGAGGCCTTCTGTGCCACTTGGCGCGAAGAAGTTAGGTGAAGGTGAAGTTGCCACAATGAAATTTAATAATTGAAAGAAAATATAACTAACATACCTTGGTTTTTCAATCATTAATTTTAAGAGAAGGCTTTGGCTTTGGCTTGTGAAAATGCTTGCAAATAGATCATAAATTTTAGAAAAAGGGAAAAGTCTCTGCTTAAACTCAAAGCCTAAATGCTGACTCTTAGGTTCCAGCAGGCAGTGTCCTAATACAAAGTTTTTTGAGCCACAGCATCCTTGTTTTATTCCTAAGTTAATTTTTGGCCTTTGCCAGTGGACTGCAAGAGTTATTGTTACAATAGCAAACAGAAACTGGCAAAAAGATGAGTCATCTTGGCAGTCCTGTTGATAAAAGATGTGACATCTTCACAACAGGAATACTGATTTGCTAAAGTAACAATGGAAACAGAATGTTATCTTGCATATGCCTAATTCTTCTATTCTTGATTATTTTCTTCTTCCTTTCTTTCCCAATATTTCAACTACAAGAAGGCTTAGGCTCAAATAATTTATTATACCATTTTTGCCTACATTTATGTCATTCTAGATCTCACAGTGAACACTAATGTAATAGGGAACACAGTTGTGTGGCAGATGATAATGATCAAATGAATAAGTCTACTGAATTCATTTAAAAGTACTATGTTTACAGACTAGATGGACAGTACCATTGACATGGATAAGTCTCAAAACAGGTCAAAGCCTATCATTTGGTCACATAGAAACACACCCAAACTACTGTGTCATGCACCAGGTCTGTTAGTAAGGGCTATTCTTCAGGGTTCTGATATTCAAAATTACACCAGAGTTAAGATAGTGTGCACTTATTTCTAAGAACTCAGAAAACAACACACCAGAACAGATGGGTTCTCAAGGCAACCCACCCAGTTTTAACTTTGTTTATTTACTTTTAGATATGCAAACAAGTTATACTTGGTTTTACTTCCAATTGGTCAAGAAATTGGCATTAATGTCTAACAATGGAAAGCCAATATGATGATAATTAGTTATTATTACAGAAAACTATACCATAAAATTTGACACTGAGTTACTGAAAACAACTCATACTTCATAATATGGGATTAACACAAACATGCTGGTACACATTTTTTTCCAATTGCAATTTATTTTCCAATTGTATACCTGGCCATCCATCCAACATTGTGGCCTTTCTGTGCTGCTGGAACTGTTTTTGTGATAAATTTTTTTTGTTTTTAATTTACTGTAGTGTGACTTTCCCTAATCCAATGCAATAAAATAGTATACTGACTGTTGCGGATGTATTTTCTTCCCCTTTGAACTCCATCACTAGAGATATAGGCTCTCTTTCAAGCTGGATTCCTATTATTGCAGGAATGTTTTTGTGTGTGAGAGTCTACATGATTTGTGCCTCCTTTACCATCTCTTTAGTGCTTTGCATCAGACATTGTTTTTCTACCACAAGAACGTTTAATCTTTTGAGAGATTTTAAAATGCACCAGCCATATGAACCCTGTCCTAGTATTAGTTCCTTTTCACTGATTGGTTGAAGCTCAGATGGGTCAATTAAAATTAACAGTTGCAAATTTGCTACTGGGTGGTCCTGATTATGTATTCCTGTCTCTAATCTGGAATAAAGTAATAAACAGAGGAAAAGTGAAGCTGGTCAGCTAGATTGTGTAATAAGTGTAATAAGTGGTACTGAGTAGTCTTTGGTCTGTAATCATATGAGTGATAACAAAATCAGACGACTGCATAGTGGAAGTACAATTTGTCTATCACGAGTGTGATTACAGACCGAAACGAATGACACAAAGTCCTTTTACCAATTAATCATAAAAATTACAATTTCCAAATTAAAAAGAACACTTAAATATTGTCATTGCTCAAGGGAAACCAATTCTCTGTTTTAAAGAAAGCCCCAATTTAGGAATCTGTACACTGTTTCTATGGTGATTGAAACCAAGGTTGTGATTGATTGATTTAAACCACAACTTTGAATGTGATTGGTTGACTTAAACTACAACTTTGAATGTATTTGGCTTATTGAACTGTCCAACAACAACTTGGCAAGTGAATTAGTGGAAAATAGGAGTTTTTAAAACTAATCACAGTCGAGGAAATTGTAATTCCTATGTTAATAGATTTATTGATAAACTTTATCCCTTTCATATAATACAAACAGAACTTTCCAAAATTCCCTGACTATTAAGGTACTGACCTATCCATGATAAAAATAAAATTTCCCTGATGAAATGGATACAAAATGTCCAGTCTCCTCTTCTTTATTAAAACATTGCTGAGATCATCTGAAATATTTCTTCCAGCATGGTATGAAATTCATTGGTGTAAAAACTTTAATTTCCCTGACTTTTCCCTGACCTTGAAATTTCTTTCCCTGGCCATTTTTTGATCTGTGGTAACCTTGGTAGGGCAAGATCAACACTACATGGCAAGATGGAAGGGAAAATGCTCAAAGCTCAATGACTGTCCTTTTCAAACGAAAGTTTAGCCTGTCTGCTCGGCAAACAGAAATGAATGAATTCCCGCTAAATCATTTCAGAATGAGGCAATTTCAAATGGGGATTCCTTGCCTTATTTTACGAAAATGATTGTAGTTTTTCTTCATTTCATCATAAAAAGGAGAAGAATTTTGAGGGCTACACTCTCCCCTCCCCCTATGAGTTTATGTTGAAGTCAACCCCAGGACGTTTTGTACAATGCAAGACAATGCTAGTTTGATTACGTTCAGCGTCAGTTCGGTGATATCGTTTTTTGTAACCAACTGCTCATTTTCTGATATCTGTTTTATTGTATTTTGACACTAACCGAGTACCTACCTTGGTTTTGTCCAGGGTCTTTTTATTCTGTTCGACTAATGCTTTCCATTTGCTATAATACATTCGCGCCAAGAATATGCATCTCTTTCCTTTTGTGTTCTCATTTCTCTGTTCTCCCTTTCCCTAGCTGTCCTTGACAATCGTTCACGTTTCTTCCTTTGATTTCGCATGCTGCGTTTTTCTTCGATTGTACTTTCCCGAGATCGTCGTGGCATGATTACTTTGCCAAGCACGCGCCAAGCGCGCGCTTTTTGTTGGCGATCGTCTTCGGTACTCGATTCCCTGTGGCTGAGTTTGTGCCCGCGTTTCCATACTGATATAATGTTGTAGAAAATTCTAGTGGACAGCGGCCTATCTCAACGCGATAAAACGATAAAAATTAACCGGAAAGCTTTGTTCGCAGTGAATGTACAACTATGAAGAATTAATGTGGATGAAACAGGGTACAAGGTTTATGCAAGGACTACCAGAAAAAAAAAAAGCAGTTGAAATCCTCCAAGTATAAAGTTTTTTTAAATGTAAAATGCATTTTCCACGCGTTTCAATATCACCCGACCTGCCACAGACTTCTGATCAGATTTATTTATTATTCCCTCATCGGTAGTTGTATATCCTGTGCCAATTACGTAAGTGGAAGTCATGTTTACTGACAAAGTTTGACAAGCGATGACGTGTCATTGATGCCTAACATTCCTTCATCGGAAAATTGAGACATGTATAGGTCTGTTGGTGTTCTGGTTCACTTTCAGTTAAACGACATTTCTGTCACAAAGTGACGAGATTATGACGCCTTGCGGTAAGCATATTGAAGCAACCTGGAGCGCTACCAGATACTCCAGAAAAAAAGCCCATACAAAGCCTTAGAAAAGTTTTCTAAGGCTTTGTATAGGACAACGGGAGGTACTTACAGTGCACGCGTTTTTCCGTCCTTTCACTTCTCTTGTCTCCCAGTAGAGCCATTGAAGGAATGGAAGCTAAGAAGAAGCGAAGCCATCCAGGAAGACTTAGAAACAGCAAAAAGAATCTCAAATCCAAAA